AGCTCCTCACCCTATCTCTAAGGGTCCACCCTGCGAAGGAAGCTCATTTCGGCCGCCTGTATCCTGGATCTTGCCCTTTCGGTCATGCCCCAAAGCTCATGACCATAGTTGAGAGCCCATATCTTGTCCTTTTTTAACAAATACGATACGATATGGAGATGCTATGCTGCTTCGTTGTTTTTATAACATTGACAATACAGAACTTTGACTTTGACTTTTGTTTATTTTCAATACAAAATAAACAAATACATAAATAATAAGAGCTTGAGGACAAAGTGCCACCAAGGTGCTGTAAATGTAACCATTACTGAGCTGTAACACAATAGTAATCTTTCCATAACAGACTGTTTCATTCAAATAACATTAGGTGACAGGAAGAAATAACATGACAGTATTTTAAAAGAAAAACACTAAGATTGAGGGGAAAAAAAACAATTTCTTACATTCTAACCTGGTAATCGTCTCACAACAAATTAAATTCATCTTGCAACAAAACTAATAGTCTCATCTGTAAAGGAGTTTTACTGGAAAGTTCCCCTCTGTTTGAAATTGCCAAAAATTTCTGAATGTGTGAACAAAGTATGTGCTTTGACACATAAGGACGTTATAAAGCTGCTATGATACGGTTTATCCTTTGATATTGGGCTTTAGCACCACAGGAGAGAAATGTTTTTGTAGTTTTTATTCTGCAGGACATCTGAAGGCATCAAAGGCAAACAAAAATCCCAGCGAGCCAGCTAAAGTCAATTCAAAATACATTAAACATCAAGGATGCTCGGCTTCAGAAAGGCGCAAACTGATTGCACAAGAGTGACATCAGCTCTGAGTCCCACTTCCCGCTGAGCTGCAGTACTTTGCTCCACACACAGGGTCAACTTCACTCAAACACAAGCTGAGAGGAGAGGAAAATGTAGCTGATGGTGGGATCTGCTCAGGGTCCGTGTGCTTGTCTGAGCTTTGATTGATGGGATTGATTCCTTTGCTGCACCGCGAATCTTATCGAATCAGCCAGAAAATGCAATCATACATAATGGAGTAGGAGCACACAGGCTATAAAGACATGACCCCTGTAATACAATTTTATGTGAGTAGAATTTAAAAAAAAAGAGTTTGATGTGGTCATACAAATGGCACTGAGCTCAGATTGTGCACCTTTCTTTAACCAGTATGCCAATATATTGCATTTGTTACTTCATATTGTATATTGATCATTTCTAAGTGTTCTGTAGCATGTCCTGAGATATTGAGGGATGGTCAATACACTGTTGCCTTTCACTCTCCTGTTTTAACCTCCTCACCTCCCTAAGGATCCCTCCACCACCCCTCTTTCCTTCCTTCTTTTCCAGGAAGTGATGACATGGACAGGTGTCATCACCCTAGCATCTCCAGCTGTCCCAGCCCACACTATTCATCACACTCATCTACACTCTGACCCTCCCAAAGCTATTACTGTAGCAAGCTGAACCCCACGTTGACAACACCTTGTGAGCAAATATTTGAGGGGGAGAGCACAAGTGAGTCAGACACTGCATTGATTTGATGGGTGTTTTGACTGAATGCATTAATGTATCATGATGATGAGAGAAAATATAAAGATGAGCTTGTAGAGAGCAGAGACAGTCAGGAGGTACACTCAAATAACCTGACAGCAACAAATGCAAGCGAGGCCAATTTAGTCCTTGTATCTCTTTGGGTATGAGCACAAACATTTTGAATTCCAACTGCATGAATTGTACAACTGCTCCATTTGACACAGACTAATAAATGCTCATAGATGAGAGCTCATACATGCATACACACACCCACACACACTTTTGTTTTCATTCTTCGTAGGGAATTGCATTGCACATCAATTGCACATTGACTTGCATTAATTTCCTGGAGGCTTATCCTAATCTTAACCATAACTGCTACTGTCCTTTACGCTAACCTTGACCTAACCCCACCCTAACCCTGTTCTTAAACCAGGCTGTCACTTGGAAATTCAGGGATGTACACATACACACAAGACCTCCACAGGTCACTATTTAACCCCACTGACACCAGTGCATCAGTGAGTGCTAATGACCCTAATGGTAAGGGGAATGAAGCAGTTTATCAATTGACTGAGTCTGTCGCCTGTCTCTTACATGCAGCAGACAGACCAAGTAAAGCTCTACAACCTTGAATGGGCCTGAGTTTTGCAGTGTATTACAGCTGGACAAAAGGAACATTGACATCAACTTAACATGTTGGTCAGGAGTCAGTGCCTGTCTATAGTGATACCTATTTAACACTAGACAGAACTCAGAGAGTGCAAACCTCTGCAAAGAGCAATACACTCAATCTGATTGCCCGAGCATAAGGACCTACCACTGGAATTTGTAATGATGCTGATAATCACTATTAGTTTGAAAGCTATTGAAGAAAAACAATAGACATGAACAATTACTAAATACCACAAACGGCTAAATAAATGTCCCATGCAAACTGACATGTGTACTTACTAGCTTGATCAGATAATAGGCACTCACATTTCTGAAAATGGTGGAAAAAAATTCTAAACTGGCATTATTTGGATAGACTGACCACATATTATCAGTTTAAGTGGTTGCATAGAATACAGTTTTCCCTGCCTGTGGGTTGTCACCTCGCTGGGCTCTTTCAGTTGCTGTCTCACACAGCAGGGTGTACTTACAATGAATGGGCAGCTCTCACTGGCCCAGGGATTTGTCTCCATATGTGCTCGAAGTGCTCAGCAGCGCAGCTATGACTTTCATCACAAGGGGGCCACATACAGTCAACAGCCTTTCCAACACTCACAATGGCAAGGAATCTATTTTAAAAATTCCAGGATCCTGTTGCTGATCCAGATCAGCACCAAAGTCGAATGAATTGTTCTGTGGACCATACCCTGCCTTTCCAATACATTTAATCAAAATTGATTTATTACATTTTGAGTTGTGCTGTTAACAAACAAGCCAACAAATGCCACTAAAAACATTACCACCGCCTTTGGTGGAGGTAATAAGAGGACAGAGTGTCTAGATATTCCATTACTTTAAGGACAAAGTAGGGGAAATATGACAACTACTGTGTTGTCAGTATCAGCTTAAATATACTGTATGTATACCTGAATGTCACAGACATAGCAGTGATAGGAGATCCCACTGTGTGTCCAAGGTGAAGCATATACTGTAAATAAAACGGAGAACACTATGGGACCCAGGACAAATCCACAAAGACCCTCACAGGTGAAAAAAATGTAACTTAAATTATCACAACCACAAATGTGCATAAACTGGCCTTAAATCTCTTGATTGGGATATTGTGATCCACAGTGTCAAAGGCTGCTCTGACATCCAAAGTATTCCCCAGCATCACCATGCATCAACATAGCATTTGAGACTCTAAAAAGACCTGTTTTCATTGAATGCAACTGACAGAAGCTAGGCTGATACTTGTAAAGAATACTGTGCTCATCAAAGATAGCATAAGCTTAGTAGGTTTACACAAAAAAGAATGTTTCAGATTCTGTTGCTCATTCATGTTGAGGATAAACACAGTCAAGTTACCAAAAATCTTTTCACTTCTTATGGAGCTGAGAAATCGGGCATACGTACAGCCAACAAGATGTAAATTCCTACCACTAGATATTTTTTACACTTCTAAGCAGTTTTCTACACGTTCTTGTTCTTCTTTCCAGAACTGTGGTTCAATTTGAACGGTGATTTGATGTCATTGAACTGTTTTCTAATTAGCACCTGGACGCAAATTAATGTATGTTGATTCATCAAAATGCAGGGTTAGAAGACAAGTGGGGAAAACGATTAATAATATAATAATTAATAATACAGTATATACATTGACTAATCTGAATATTCAGAGATTATTAACACCTTTTGGCAGCATGTCATACATGTTAAGAAACAGCACCTGGAATGTCTACAACATGAAAAAAGCAGACCAGATACTGACAACAGAGGCATGCTAGAACAAACAGCACCTGGAATGTCTGCAACATGAAAAAAGCAGACCAGATACTGACAACAGAGGCATGCTAGAACAACAGCTAAACAGGGCTTCAGACTGTGGTGATCAGTTGCACTTTGTGACCAAATTATTTAAAGATGCAACTGCAAGCCAATCCTTCCAACAATTATTTATTAGCACAATAACTATAAGAAGTTCAATAGTGTGCTATCTTAAAGATAGGGAACAGAATCACCATCCCTGCAGAAAAATGAACAAAAGCATTAGACCAGAAGATTGTCAAAGAATCAGTCAGTCAGTCTTGGTCAGGGGTCCAGTCAGTCCAGAGTCCACTCCCCCCCCCCCCCAGCCCAACTGCACACTTCACTACCGCAGCAGCATTGTTCTTCCTCCTATCCTTCAGCCTAACTCATTTTATTTACAGCTTCCTTCCGCTGTTACATCAATTTCCGAACTTAGCTTCCTGTCTCCACTTTTAAGAGGAAACACTCTGAGATGTACCCAAAAAACAGGAAACAGCTTGGCTAAATTAAATTATATACGCTCATTGCCCAGCTCACATGAACTTAAAGGTGAACACAATATTCTATTCTATTACATAGTCCATATTAGCTTGTAACTTAAACACTATAGTGCCTTACATGCTTTTCTTTTCTCACTTCTCTATTCACTCACCCCAACTGGTTTAAATAGTACAACTGGCCACCATAAGCTGGGATCTGTCGGAGGTTTCTTCTGTTAAAGGGAGTTTTTCCTCCCGACTATCGCCCCGTACTTTCTCAAGGGAGGATTTGTTGGGTTTTTCTTAATAATATTAGAAAGTTTAAAGTGCCTTGAGATGATATTTGTTGTGATTTAAATAAAACTGAATTGAATTTAATCTATTGTAAACAGGTAGCAATCACACAGTGTGTCTCTCAGATCACTCCTCTTTACTCAAACGAGTCACAGCCCAAACGCCCTCCCTCTCCTCGTTGGGCAAACATGTTTTATAGATCAGAGCTCAAACTAGTTTCACTTGTCACAAATTGAAACTCAGACAGTCATTGCCACTGAGAGGTGAAATGGCGCAGAAAGGAGTTCAGCTGGACTGGGAAACCTTCTCTTGTTCTATCTGTTTGGATCTGCTGAAGGATCCAGTGACTATTCCCTGTGGACACAGCTACTGCATGAACTGTATTCAAAGCTTCTGGGATGAAGAGGGTGAGAATAAATGCCACAGCTGCCCTCAGTGTAGGCAGACGTTCACACAGAGGCCTGTCCTTATGAAAAACACCTTGTTAGCAGTTTTACTGGAGGAGTTGAAGAAGACTGGACTCCCAGCTGCTGCTACTGTTGATCACTGCTGTGCTGGAGCTGAAGATGTGGCCTGTGATGTCTGCACTGGGAGGAAACTGAAAGCCCTCAAGTCCTGTCTGGTGTGTCTGGCCTCTTACTGTGAGAAACACCTCCAGCCTCACTATGACGCAGCTCCATTACAGAAACACAAGCTGGTGGAGCCCTCCAAGAAGCTCCAGGAGAACATCTGCTCTCATCATGATGAGGTGATGAACATGTTCTGTCGCACTGATCAGCAGTGTATCTGTTATCTTTGTGCTGTAGATGAACATAAAGGCCACGACACAGTCTCAGCGGCAGCAGAAAGGGCTGAGATGCAGAGAGGGCTTGATGGGAGTCGAAAACAAATCCAGCAGAGAATCGAGGACAGAGAGAAATATGTGAAGGTACTTCAGCAGAGTGTGAAGGCTATCAGTCACTCTGCTGATAAAGCAGTGCAGCACACTGAGAAGATCTTCACTGAGCTGATCTGTCTCCTTGAGAAAAGATGCTCTTATGTGAAGCAGCGGATCAGATCCCAAGAGGCGACTGAAGTGAGTCAAGTGAAAGAGCTTCAGCAGAAGCTGGAGCAGGAGATCACTGAGCTGAAGAGGAAAGACGCTGAGCTGAAGCAGCTCTCACACACACAGGATCATACCCAGTTTCTACTCAACTACACCTCACTGTCACGACTCAAGAAATCTACACACTCATCCAGCATCAGTATCCATTCTTTGAGGTATGTTGAGGACGTGATAGCAGTTGTGTCAGAGACCAGAGATAAACTACAGGACATTCTGAGAGAGACATGGACAAACATCTCACTGACACCGAATGAAGTGGATGTTGTACCGCCACAACCTGAGCCCAAGACCAGAGCTGGATTCTTAAGATATTCATGTAAAATTACACTAGATCCAAAAACAGCACACACACAGCTGTTATTATTTGAGAGAAACAAAAAAGTGATGGTAATGAAACAACAACAGTCTTGTGCTATTCACCCAGGCAGATTCACTGGCTGTTGGCAGGTCCTGAGTAGAGAGAGTCTGACTGGGTGTTGTTACTGGGAGGTGGAGTGGAAAGGGACAGGACATTATGTAGCAGTCGCATACAAGAGTATCAGCAGATCAGGGAGGGAGAATGAAAGTGGATTTGGATGCAATGACAACTCTTGGGCATTATGCTGTGAGCAAAACAGTTCTAGTTTCTGGTACAACGGCATCAAAACTCCCATCTCAGGTCCTCAGTCCTCCAAACTTGGGGTGTACCTGAATCACAGAGCAGGTATTCTGTCCTTCTACAGCATTTCTGAAAAGATGACTCTCCTCCACAGAGTCCAGACCACATTCACTCAGCCTCTCTATGCTGGATTTGGGTTTGAGGATTATGGCGACACTGCTGAGTTCTGTAAGCTCATATAGTTCCGCCTAGAGAAAAAGAGAACCACAGGCTGAAACCAAGAGTCAGCAATAGGAAGTTAAGGCTGGGGAGGAAGTTTGTATAGTCATTTTTTAACTATTGAAAAATCAAATGATTCTGAGTCACAACCTAAAGTATGATCTTATTTGATTTGCTAATGTGATGTGGTGTTGTATGTTGCAGTAAAAACTGAAGGAAGTTATGGTGAGGATGATGTAATATCTAGAAATTATAACTGACTGCTTTATTAATTGGATGATGTTAGAACGAGTATATGAAATTAAATTTCTAGGTGTCATAGTGGATGATAGATTCACCTGGAAATCTCATGTCAGATATATTCAGCATAAAATAGCAAAAAACATATCGATATTGGCGAGGGTTAGACATATGTTGGACATAAAAGCACTACGTATTTTGTATTCTTCATTGATTTTACCATACTTGGAGTATGGCGTTGAAAACTGGGGAAACACATACATAAGCTCAATTCAACCATTGTATATATTACAAAAAAGAGCGATAAGAATTGTGCATAAGATGGGGTATGGGCTATTCAATGAAAGGGAAGGGGGATACAATCTAAGTGGTCAGTTAAATTATAAAATTCATGCTATACGTACAACCAAAAAAAGATTTTGTATTTCCATAAGTGGAGTAAAACTATGGAATAATTTAAGTGTGGACATAAAAAACAGTAAGAAAATTGATGAGTTTAAACATAAATATAAAGGTATGTGTCAATCAAGATACGAGCAAGAACAGGCTTAATGATTAATCAGATGGGAGTGTGGATGTAGAATATGTATCCATGTAGTAATACTGCTTGCAAACCAATGATGGTAAGATGATGTTATGGGGTAGGACTAGATAAGTCTGACTTCTTCCTACTCCGTTCAAGCACGTACTGGGTATAAGCAAATTGAAAATATATTTGTGGATATGTCTGGAATTATGTGTGGTTACATACTGACTGTTGTTACATGTTTGAAAGAATAAATAAATCAAATCAAATCAATCAAATGTTTGATGGGTTGATTTAGATACAGTTAAAATCCTAATGAGTGATTATGATGTTTAGAAATATAAGTGATGGTTTGATAAAAAGTAATGAGGTTTTTACAAGTTTCACAAGTGAGGTTTTCAGTCACAAAGTGATGTGTGACTCATGTGCGCTTGACATTGCAATGATTTTCTGTAAAATGGAGAAGTGAGCAGTCACAGCCCTCCAAATGGGGAAGTGCAGAGAGAGACATCTGAGAAATCAGTGTGACATTTTGAAAAACATCTGATTTACTGGAAGAGAATGTGACTCAAACTGTCATGTATTGTCCACATCTGATCACAAGGACAACACGCTGTGGCAATAGCCAATAGAAAAAAGAGTTTATGGTGTGTATGGTAAAAAAAAAAGTTGTGCATGGTGGACAGGCTGGAGGTCTTTACACGTAATTTACCAGACTGTGTAAAATCTTAGTTAATGCACCTTTAACAGGAGCAATGTGATACAACAGCAGCTTTGATGGGGAATGTGATGTTTTTTTCTAGTTATGTTTGATCTAACATGCTGTTTGTCACATTTTCATTCTGTGATGTATTTCATATCTGGGAGACATTTCTGATTACTGTCTGTTTACATGGCTTTGTATAAAAGCACTGAAGGAAAGCCATTACAAAGGCCTGTTCTGAAGGTAGACTGTGGGTGCTTCTTTTATATGAGCATGTTAGACATAAAGTTCATTTCTGACCTTGGAGTACTTTGACAAAACAGCCCCAACTCATGTCCGCCCACTAGCTTGTCCTGGAGCTTTCAATCATATCACACAGTGTTTATCAGGTAAGTTGTCATGGTGATGGCTCAGCAGCTGTTTTACGAGCCCCATTAGTTCCAAGACTTCATGGGCTTGTTGAGTGAAAGGATAATGGTCAGCGTATGTTGGTATGAGGGGAAGCTGCTGAGTAGACTGCGTTGGGATTGTGTAAGCAAAACACAGTTGTGTTTACGTTCCATGTTTCTCACCAAAACACATTAAGTGATCAAGGCCTGTGGTGTGTGTCATGTACCTATTGCCTTTCTCCACACAGGGAAAACACTTGCTTGACTTAAATGCATTTGGAGTTTAAATATATTACCAAAGGCAACTAAAATGAAAATGAATAACTAATGAAAATTTTCTAGACTCCTGTTCTGTTCACCATATCATCATATCTTGCAAACATGCTTTGCATATTACATTAGGTCACTTTTACAGTTCAGTAATTCCTATAACAACTTATTCTGGCAGCATCTTGTCCTCTTTAGCCAGTCCTGACTGTTGCTTTCACTGGTTCAAACAACAAACATCAATTAGCATCACTTACAAAAGACAAAGGCCAGAATCAGCCTGGGTTGTTGCCTGCCTAATGTGCTCTCATCAACACAGCGTGTGTACTCAGAGGTCATTTGTGAGGCAACAGAAGTGCCACTTTGTAACATTATAACAAGTGAAATTTGTGTTTTTGTAGTTCAGCTAGGCTTAAAGTGTGGTGATTCTTCTCTAGCGAAATGTAGTGTCAGGATTAAGAATACTTTAAACTCATCAACTAATGCTACAGATCAAAACTAAATCTTCTGTAGTTATGTTGAAAGCTAAACCTAAGTGGATTTAACATATAAGGATTTTGACTCAATAACAGGGTTTGATAATGAATTCAAATTTGATAAAATGCTATCAAATTCTAATTAGGACTCTACAGATGATCAATATTAAAAATCTTGGATCAAGTTTAGCGATGAAACAGTGGATCAGAGCATCTCTACAACTCCCAAAAGCCTACATAAAGTCATGCACATGAAGAAATAAAGAGTAAAAAGAGGAGGTAGATGTGTTGACACATGCAAATTCCAACACACACATACTGTGCTGAATCAATATTATTTTTCAGCTGTCCATCCTTCTCAGGGTTTCAAATGACATCTCCTCATCAGCAACATTTAGGACATACTGTATGTGTGGACTTACACACTACTGACACACACCAATCAGGACTTTAAATCAGTGGGCAATCTCATTCCTGAACACACTCCCTCATGATTCATTTTCATTTAAGGTGATGCATCAGGGGTAGGGAACAAAAGGAACACATTCGATTTAGCCACAGCACAAATCCACCACCCTGGATCGTGACATCTTACTCACCATAACTGAGCAGATGTTTTCTTTTTTTAAAATGGGAGCAAGCGGTTCACCCTCCCCCCCGATTCCAGTCTTTTTTTCATTAAGGCAGAGCTTGCAGGGACAGAGAAGCCAGATGAGGTTGTGGCTCCATTTGATCTGAAGCTGACTGGGATACAGCACTTCCTCAGGCTGAGGTCACAACAACTACACCATCTCTGGGTTCAACTAACTACAGCCAGCCCGCAGCATCAATAAGAATAACAGAATTAGGGTTTTCATTTCACTGTGTCTGTTAAGTGGGAGAAAAAGCTAAATATGTCCTCACTATGTGCATTATTGGAAATTTCTGGCTGTGCTCACTTGAAATCAACATTTTGTAACTTTAAAGTAACTAATTTAAAGCATCAGGGCCATCGGGCTGGCATCAGAATAAACAATATTATCCCAGAAATGGCCAAATCCAACAGACAGAGAGAGTCTGGAACAGAAATGAGTGTTAGACACAAGAGTTTGTCATTTTATCCATTGTACTATTTCACAGTCTGGCATGTCTTGGCTGTGTCACAGTAGGACTATCACCTTTTTTCTGCCTGTAGTTTGGACACACATTTGGCCTCTTTGGAGCTCTTTTGGTTGTCTTCTGCAGTTTTGAAAACTTGCATACTAATGTACTTACTGTCAGAGTATTTATTGTGGCTGACAAATGATAAAATTTTATATCCAACCTAATCTGACTGTTCTTTGTCTTTGTGGCAGCATTTCTAATTACAGTGGTGAAAGAAATTGATACTTTCCTTAAAGGGGCAATTCACCAATTTTACATATCAGGATCACTCACAAAATTGTATTTGATTGTAAATAAGAGTGAATTCAGGTCATGATATATTCTGGGTGGTAAAAAAAAAAACAGGATGCATTTTATTGAAAATGCCCCCCCCCCCCCAAAAAAAGTGCAATACACTAAATCATTAGAATGTGCTTTTAGCTGACTGCAAAACACATCAAACTGTACATTTTTACTTGTCTAAATTTATTTCTACCGCTATTTAACTGTGATTATATTAGCTTTAAAGTTCAACTTTTTCCACTGAGGCAATGCATGATGCTATTCTGTCAACCTGTGTAAGCCATGTAGCAACCTTCTTTGATGGCTGATCCTTCAATGTCCTCTGTCCACAATGAAATTCTTAACATTCAGGTTCTGTTTAACATCAGTTTAGCTTCAGTGGATAAAATGTGTACAACAGATGAGGACTAACAGCTGTGAGGACATTGCATACACGCATCAATGATTCTCCAAGAAGATTAATGCAGTTTCTTTATGCACCAAAATAAACCAGCATATAGGATACAGATGGGAGAAACAAGAAAGAAAAGAACTGGAAGAGAAGAGGAACATAAGAATGAGAGGCAGAAAAGAGACACAAAGGCAGTAAAAGAGAAACAAGGAAGCAATACAGTGGAAAGCTGTATGGCAGACTGTGTTTGTAAGCTTGAGCTGCCGCAGCAGTTACCCTGGCCTCGATTTATGAAGCCAAGTTACATACAAAGAATAGAGGGAGGAAAAGAAGCAGTAATACTCTATTATGCTGTGCTGAAGACACTGGCAGGCAGAGGTCACCAAAGCCTGCCTGTTTCACCAAGACAACTCTAAACTAGAGCCTGACAGCAGAGGAGAGGAAAGGACAGGAGAGGAGAGAAATACTGAGAAAAGTAATTAAAATACAAAAAAGACATAGCCTGGGTGTAAGAAGAGTACTGGGCTGCAGCACCTCAGGTGCAGGCGTCCCTGCATAGAGGAACAGGTTCCAAATGAATGCTGTAGTGCGATATTGGCATTTTAGGTTTGGGGAAGAGAGAGTGTGCTCTAATTAAAAACTACCCAAAGGGGATATCTCCTGCTATGAAACAAGTCATTCTCCCCCTCCCACGTTCACATCCATCAAGTCATCTCCACACAAACCCCGCACACCCCCATCCCTTTTTCTCTTGCTTTGCCTGGTGGGAGGCTTTAACAAACTCATAGAGAAAAAGATGATATGGGAATAAACTAGAGAGAAAAGAGAGAGAAAGCTAATGAGCTTATTCACTGTACAACAACCATGCAACATTTTAGACATGCACAAGATGCTGAAAATCAGACAATGTTGCACAAGCTTTCTGGCGTTTATCTACAACATCAGAACTAGTGTGAGGAACATATTCAACCCCCAAGTGTCATTTAATTCATTGTCAACATCATGTTTGCATGTTGCACTTATAATTACAGTGAGAAAGATTTGAATACTGTACATATGCATCTGCATGTGAACTCAGGCTCAGGTTCAGGTTCACATTGTCATTTCCACAAAGATACATGACCTGCAGGACATACTGTACACACATAGGCTCAAAAAAAACAAAATAACTGTAGACTAAAACTAAAAACTGTCAACTAAAATCAAACATGTACAAACATCACATAGTCTTAAGTGTAAGAGTGTGCAGCAGCAACTCAGATGTAAACAGCTACCAGTGTATTTTCTCCTCTTACTGCAAACTTGAGATGCTGGTGGAATTTCAGCAACACTGTCTTTAAATTTGCATGATTGAAGTGACCAGAGATGAAAAAGGGCGTAGTGTTTGTTTGCTGTTTTCACTTTTGGGTGGGGGCGGGGGGGGGGGGGGGGGACAGGACAGGTAGAATGCTACAGCGGTCAACTCCCCTGGGGGATAGTAATGCTAGTACTTCATGATCGTAAACTTCACCAGCAGAGAACAGAGGCCGGACACAACCGCAGCATTTGTGCACCACTCCCTCTTAATGTACATACACAGTCCACCACCATAAATGATTCACCTTCAGCTCAGTATAAACTTATCCTGAGTCTGGAATATTGCTGTGTAGCTACATTTCAATGAAAAGAAAGAAGCAGCACTTCATCATTTAAAGATGAGCAGGCCATCTTTACATTAAATTAGATTAGATTAGATTCAGCTTTATTGTCATTGCCCATATACAAGTACAAGGCAACGAAATGCAGTTTAGCATCTAACCAGAAGTGCAATAACAACAGTGAAAAGTACACAGTATCTACAGTATGAACAGTCAGAATCATACCCACTCTACCAATCTCCAGAAGATCCTGGCAGTTATAGCTGGGTTTGGCTACATAAAGAATGCAGTTTTCTATAATTGAAGACAAGTAATACAACACAAACAGTGAAATATGTGGTCTGTGATCAGGCTGCGGCATCTGCATGCACCACCATGGCAGGGATGGAGGCAAAATGGTTATATGTAAACTTTAATTTTGCACCCAAAGTTATTCCTGAATTTCACTGAAAACTAGAAGTAGAAGTGTTTTCACCTACAAATCACACAAATGAGTTTGTTGACAGCATAACTCAAAAAGAAATGAATGGGTTTTAATTTAATTTTTTTTGGAGTGGTAGAATATGACCCACAGAACAATCCATTAGATTTTAGTGGTAATCTGGCTCATCATCAGGATCCAAGATTTTTTTAAAGAATTTTTCACCATTGTGAGACATGGCCAATTTCAGTATTTTTGCTTGTAACCCCATACACAACGCCTGCAATGCATGGGCATAAATTGCATGGTAACATCTACATAAGTTCTACCACACACCAAAGTTTGATCCAATAATATTCTGAATCTGCTGATCCAGAATGTTCATATTTACAGGGCTCAGAGAAAACTCGTGACTGAGACAACAAATAATGCTGGAGACCTGCAAGTAAGATCAAATTCTAGCTGAAACTCTGCTGATTCAGTAGGATGTCTAGAGATTCAACATGTATTCAAAGGTTACTGAGCTAGATCCTGAATAAAACCATCATTACTGAAATATATATTTTTTTAATAACTTTCAAACTAATAATATGATTGTGACTCCAAATGCTAGGGGTAGATTTTATGGTCAAGGAATCGTATTATCAGGCTCAACCTATGATGGGAATATTGCTTTTAGGTGGAATGGCATTATGGGGACACAGAGCTGCCTTGGTGGAGGTTTGTGCTCGAAGTGTTGACTGGTTACTTAAAAATTCCACTTTCATTGTTAAGAGGAAAAATGTGTCACTACACAATGCTTTTACTTCCAACCTGTTTAGGTCAGATAAAGGTCATAGCATTAATGTTGTTTTTTTTCCTTCATAAGCTGATGTAAAACCAGTATCAGACTAATATTTGGGCAGTCATTAATGCCCACATTCACATAAACCGCCATTATCCATTGGGGTGATTACTATCCACACTTTCACAGTCAGCAAAACTGGGTTTACTTTGACTTTGACATCAAAGTAATAATGTGGTAGATCCCACCTCACTTGTATGATCGTTCCTCACTTGCATTGTCCCAAAGCTCCTATATTAGCTCTGAGGAGCAAGGAACAATGGTCAAGGAGGCTGGCTGGAAGAGCCATGAGCAAGGATACACGAGACCATACTTCGCATAAGTCTTCTATGGACTGACATGACCCTTTTTCAGCAATCAGTTGATGATTGGATGCTTCAGATGCAGGACTGGATGGCTCATGTCTCTAAAAACATTTCCTCAACTCCTCTCCCCTCACATCTTACATGGACAGGACTAAGACGCAAGTGAGGGAGAGGTGGATTCATATAAGAGACTTACGATGACCCCTGGTGTCACTAGAGAGTGCAATACAAATCAGTCAGTGGAATAGTCTGTACAATATGCCTACGTGTGTTTGGTGTTTGTGGTGTACACTGTGTGACACTCACTCCACTGGGGGATTGATGTCCTCAGCTTTTGTCTCAAAGAAACGCAGCACCTCCTCGCTCTGAGAAATCTGAGGGGGGAGTCGCACCAGTGCCTACAGAGTTAACCAAAGAGAATAGTGGGTTGAAAAGTCGACAGGTTACAATTCAAATTATCCACTTTATTTACTTGTTTAATGTGTATGTATCGTACAGCTGCACTAGTCTTTTCAAATGACTGTGTTTTTTGAAAAGCATCACTCAAAGTGATAAACACACAGAGAAGTCCCACCCAACTTTGCAGTTTCCTTTTAGCTTTACAGAGCCTTTGAGCCTCTTTAAGCTAACCCATTTGCCTGCATGTAAACTGTAAAACTGTAACTGTAAAATCAATTAATGCAGTTGTCAATGTTTTTTGAGGAATTTTATTATGAAAGAGGTCTGTATAATTCTCCTCTATAAAATTAAGATGCATCAAACAGATGTTTCTTTTGGGTAAGAATTGTCTCAGCCGAGGTAATCAACCATGCTTCTTCCCTGTACGTATGTTCACTGACAAAGCCACACCACAGTCAGAGAGGATCAGATGTCTGGCTAACCATCTATTTTTAATGACCTGGCTGGCTCCCACCAAAGGCATACCTTATGTACAGTACATCATCGGGATATGCAATGGCACACGAACAATGTAGGCCTTTTATTTGAACTGGCATAGTCTGAGCTACCTTCATATTTCATTTGTCAGAATCTATATTTTTGAAAGACCCTAGTGGTTTTGATAGAAGAGCTTGTATCTCAGTGTGCGCCCACAACTGGCTGGACTAAATATCATTCACTTTCCACATAGCACATCCTTTCGAGATCACTGGGTAATTAGTCTTGTTCTCTGTTGTTTGCCTCATAAACAAGATGTAGGAGGTAAACAGTGAGGCACACTCCACACTGTGGGACTAAAAAATAGGCTCACTATAACAACTGTAAATATTAGAGCGCTTCAGGTTATTTGGGTAATTAGGAAGCCAAGTTCTCTTTTTAGAAAGCATTGCTTATGTTTGGCAAAGAATCAGGGTCATTTCAGATGTGTATAGTTAGTTTTAACTTTTAAACTCCTTTTGGTCCTAATTACTGAGCTGCTATACTGTAGCTACCTTTTCCTAATGCAGGCCAACAATACGGCTCCTGAACCGTGTGTATAGGGGCACACATAAGAACCCACATCTGGTGTAATGCACCCTCCCCCCTACTGCTAGTGAGGCTTTGTGCCAAGGAAGAAAGGAAATGGGGAAGGCATGGTGAGGAAAGAATCTGAATATGGGATAAATAAAAAAACTAATAAGAGAGAGAGAATAGGAAGTGATAAGGTGACGTTCCATTGAACTAGAGAATGACAAAAGGCTTTCAAAGTTTCTTTTAGCTTTTGGGAAAGGGACACTAATTTGGAGGAGAGCTTAGTTTCCTAACTGTATCAAATAAGAGGATAGGTTTATTAGTGAAGTCTAAAGCACAACTAGGTTGAAAATAATCAGCCTTCAACTGTAGGAAGAGATCACAACATTTCCCCACCAAGTGTCAGAGCACATTACAGGCTCTTCAGATGTCTCAGAATAGCACTAATACATAGCTCTTCAATGTGAGTACTCCCTGGGAACTCTTCCATGTCCACAACTGTGTCTAAGCCTCATGTCCCATGTTTAAAGCATGTGAAAGGACAGTACAGGTTGTGACCTTAGACCCCTCACAGACTGGGGGACATTCCCCAGAGTCAGATGGGAGAACTAGGATGTTTACAGTAAGGCCTCTTTACCCTGCAGTAGTCATCAATGAAACGCAGCCGCTTCATGGCCACATCTCGCACGTGACTCCTCCGGAACAGGATTTTGCCTGAAATGAAGAAAAAGGAAGAGAATGAAAATGGAGATGAGGGAGAAGGTAAATGAAAACAAAGGAAGGGTATGATGATAGATGGAATGGAAAAGGAGAAAAGAGCAAGCCATATTTGACACATGCATAGAGCCCTCTCTAAAAATACAACAAATTTAACATGATTTTGCAGTGTAGATCACTGCATGTAATACCCTGGTCTGCCACAGGATGTCAATAATGTAGGGCAGCGAGCCCAACCAATCTCAGCACCACGCTGAGGCTCCAGGATTCCACGACCTTTGCCTGTGACATGGCTTTCTAAATCACAAACAAGACATATACACTCATGGGTCACACATTTTAGGGCTCAGCCTACTCATGGAGATCATTAAAGTTGAACCACCAACAACAGCAGCCCCCTACAATCAAACTATATGCACTTCATCCTGTTTCAGAAGCGTAAAATGATGTCTTGCATAATCAGCTGTTTTTAAGGTGTTATTTACGATCAAAAACAAACTTTGTGATAATGTTATGCATTCACCTTGTTAGCAAGAATGTTTCCAAAACTATTATATTTTAACTACCATCGGGGTTTGCTGACAAGGCTTATACAGCCTGTAGAAGCATGAAGTTTTGCAGAAAATATGCTATAGTATTAGCACATTAGCAATACTCCTTATGCGTAATGCTCTTCTTTTAATTGCATCTGATGAATGAAGGTGCAATTAAACAGAAGCATTTGACTGGATGATGACTGGGGTTTGTGTGTACTTTACTGTGAAGCACAGCAGTTATAAACAACTTGGGAGAAATTTTAGGTATTGTTTGAAATGATTTGATACCAATGCCCTATTGGTACTCCATTTCCTATCAGTACCAAAACAATACCCTCTTTTTGTTGATTTTTTTGTTTTGCTTTTATTTCTGTTCACTTCCACATATTAATACAAAAAATGAATCGGATTAAAGTCAACCCCTTTATTTTTAAATGGTATTTCTCTTGCTTGACAAAGCACGTCCAGTACTGAAGGTCAATAACAGCCTCTCTGATCCTAAATCAGTCAGCACTGGTGCCCCTCAGGGCTGTGTGAGCTCTCCACTACTCGTCATGTTGTATACTAACGAGAGTGTGTGCATCCACCCTATGTTTTTCTGATGATACTACGATTCTTTGTTTACTCCATAGAGACAGTGATATTTCATCTGATTATTCAGAGAAAGATAACTTTGCATGCTGGTGTGATGCTAACCATCTTCCTTTGAATGTGAAGAAATCTGAAGAGATGGGATTTGACCCTAAGGCAGTGGGTGAGCACAGCCCAGTAATTATCTATAACGCTCCCATTAATCAGGTATGTTCCTATACGTATCCTGGTGTACCAAGGTTTGAATCTCGGTACTTGCAGTCGAAATGTCCTTGGGCAAGACACTGAACCCCCCCATGGTGTGTATGCACGCCGGGGCCCTCAGCCTGCAATAAATAAGCTGCAATAAATAAAGCTTCTTCTTCTATGATATGCTTACCTGGAAAAACCATGCAGATATCCTATGCCTACAGCAGAGGTTGCACTTTTGGAAATAGCTAAGTGTATATGGGCTTAACCAAAAACTTATGTTTCTGGTCTACCAAGCAGTCTTAGAAAGTCAAATAAGATATGGGATACAGACTTGTTATGGTAAACTCTCAGTGCAGTCGAAAATCAGGCTGCCCACCTTGTCAGGACTGCTATGAAGATCACAGGGAAAACTGAATATCTATCCCTGCAATCTATACACAAACAGTCTATGCTTAGAGGAGCATATACTGTGGCAAGAAAAAGTATGTGAACCTTTTGGAATTTCATGGTTTTTTGCATTTTGTCATAAAATGTGATCTGATCTTCATCTAAGTCAAGAGTACTGACAAATATAATGTGCAAAAAAATTCTGATCTTTCATGTCTTTATTGAAGACACTCATTCAACATTCAAAACGGTAGTGGAAAAATTAGGTGAACCCCTGGAATTAATAACTGCTCACATTATCCTGAAGAATTTTTTGATACACTTGGGAATTCATCTTCCCCTCAATGATTACAAGCTGGCCAGGCCCTGATGCAGCAAAGCAGGCCCCAATCATGATGTTTCCTCCACCATACTTTATGGTCGATCAGGATGATGTTTTCATGATGATATGCAGTGCCCTTTTTATGCCAGATGTAGTGCTGCATGTTCTTTCCAAATAGTTCAGTCTTAATTTTATCAGTCGACAAAACATTTTGCCAATACCGCTGTGGAGTGTCAGTGTGCTCTTTTGCAAACATCAGGCATGCAGCAATGTTCTTTTTTTTTAATCAACGGCTTCCTTCGTGGCGTCCTGCCATAGACACCCTGCTTGTTCAATGTTTTACGTACTGTAGGCTCATGAACATAGGTGTTATCCAGTTCCAATGACACCTTCAAATCTTTGGCTGTCACTTGAGGTTGTTTCTTTAAGTCATTTATGAGTCTTCGTTGTGCTCTTGGGGTCATTTTGACTGGGCACCCACTTCTTGGTAGAGTAACCGCAGTCCCAAAGTGCATCCATTTGTAGATCGTTTGCCTAACTGTAGACTGGTGAATTTTTAAAGTCTTTGAAATCACTTTATAACCCTTTCCAGCTTTATGTAAATCAACAATTCTTGATCATAGATCTTCTGAAGGCTCTTTTTGGCGAGGCATGGCTCACATAAGCATATTGTATTCTTCTTGTGTGAAGCAAACTCAAAAGGTTTGAGTGGTTGTCAAAGTAGCTCTAGTCCACACCTCCAAACTGATTTTCTTAACAAGACTCCAGGTATGCTAACACCTGACTCCAATTAGCTTTTTTGAGGTAATTAACTCAAGGGTTCACATACTTTTTCCACTAGCACTATGAGGTTTTTATGGTTCTTCTCAATAAAGACATGAAAGATCAGAATTTTTTTGTGTTATATTAGGCAAATTATATTTGTCAGTACTCTTGACTTAGATGAAGATCAGATCACATTTTATGACAAAATGCAGAAAACCATGACATTACAAAAGGTTTGCATACTTGCCACTGTAGCATATCGCCTGACTGATCCCATGTCCTTCATTTGGACCTTAATTTGTGAAGTGCCCTGAGATGACTTTTGTTGTGATTTGGCACTGTACAAATAAAACTGAATTGAACTGATATTTTCTTTAAGCACTAAAAAGGCTGTTTTAAAGAATGCAACAAAATAATGTTTTGTTGAGCAATAAGATAGAGATGGAATATGCCTACAGTACCAGTGCTTGGCAGACAGATGTAAGCCGTATTAAAATGCATTAAGATGTGAAATGTTGCAATGTGTTTTAAGCTGATGTTTATATTGTTCATATTGCACAGGTCATTTTATGGATGGATTTTGGTCTATACAATTATTTTACTGTGTAAAATGTTGAAATGCACCTACCAAAGAAAGGTTTCAACAAGGGGACAATAAAGTGCATCACATCGTATCCTGTCGTATTATCATTGCCTTGCTTTGAGAAATATAAACTTTTGTTTAAACTTTTTCATTCAGTAAAAGAGCCCAACATTGAATGTGAAGCGATCTCTAAACACATGCAACAGTATAAGAAATTTTCCTGAATAAAATAAAAATAAACTGAAATACCCTGTGAATGAAATCAGGAGCTGTCTGGTCAAAGAATAACTAAAGAACATGATGAATCTCATCCGCCATTAATACCAGCTTTTGTATGGCAGTTTTCAACACAAACCCATTTAAGTTGGTACCAAAAAATTACTGAGGTTTTATACACAGCCTTACATGGAAGTAAAGAATTGCCATAACCATCTGAATTGCTCTAGACAACTGAATACCTACATTTGAAAGGTAACCACTATTTAATAATTGACACTGACATTCAAATTCCACTATTATAGCCAAGCTTATACCCTGTACCAAGCAACACCAATTTGCCAGTGAAACGGGTTGGTGATTCCTAAATATTTGTCTGGAAAAATCTGTGATCAATCGCCCACCTTTATCCAAAATATTGCCATGCATTTTATTGGATTCTATCACTGTCTTACTGGAAGAGTGGAGGAGTTATCCTGAAAAAGCATCTTCGAACAAAAATAGACAGTCAATAATGTTTGAATCTGTTCTGTTGAATTGTAAGAAAAGAGGTAGGTGGATGTCTGGTTTTGTCTGTGAGTGTGTGTCAAGAAGGACTAACAGGAAGAGGAGGGCTTGAGAGGAGACAGAATAGGTACAGTAAATGTGGAGACCATGTGTTGGCCACAGGGCTTAAGCTGAGCATTTACCAAATTAAACTGCTGTAAACAGACAGCAGCATTTCACTCCCTAAGTACACATTAATCCACAGAAATCTATATGACAAACATACAGGCGTTCACAGACACGGTCGCACACAAGACACCAGTGTGATTAGGAGAATCACTGTCAGCCATTCTGCTCTGGACACTGAAATGCCACAGACAGCATCATCGATAACTGCAACGCAGCACTGTGGGTCACCATGAGCCTGGATGTCAGGTGACGACTTACAGCAGGAGAGACAAGCATTTGTGGCATGACTTGAATCAATACTAAGACACACACATGCACATTGTACATCCCTATTATGTATGCCTTTGACCATCAAATACATGGATAACTGAAAGGTCAATTAGAAATAATATAAAAATGTCACTAAAACAAAACAAACACAAAGATATACAGGAAAAGATCTGAAAGTCAAAGATAACGCCTTGTCAGCAGTAACATGGTAGCACACACATCTATACATACAGTATATGTACACTTAAGCAAACACACTTAGTGCAGGCAGGCATCAGTAGCCATCTCTTATTGACGCCCTGAGAGTGCCCGCCATACATTATTGATATGGTGGCCTGTTCAGATAACTGGGCCTCAGGAGAAGTTTATTACCTGGAAGAAATGGGATGATCCTCTTCTTTGGGTCCTTCTGCCCTCCCTCAATTGGGAACTTGTCAAGTATCTGCATCTGTAGAATAAATGGGAGACACAGCTGTTTTTAGCTGTATTGCTTTGCTACTTATGTACAACATTAGCTTATCTGCTTTCTTTCTGAGAGTGAGATAAGAATCAATTTCAGTCTCATGTCTCACATGTTAAGTATAGAGATGGAATATGCCTACAGTACCAGTGCTTGGCAGACAGATCAGCTGTTGGTTGTCAAGAAATAGTTCCAGCATGTAACTCCCTCTAAAACTACAGTTTTCATTACATTTTGGTTTTGTGTAAGAATAAAAAAAAAACATGATACATGTTCAACAGTGAGCTTTAGAGTTGCTTGTGTACTTTACTGAACAAAGCAAAGCTAGGACTTCCCTTTGTTTCCAGTATTTGTGCTAAGCTAAGCTAATTATCTAGACTAGCTACTCTAGCTCCATACTTACTGCACAGAAACAAAAGTGGTACTGATCTTTTTATCTGATTCTAAATAAGAACAAATAAGTTTTCACTCACTGAACACTTTATTAAGGACACTTGCAGTGCAATCTAATACAACAGCCCTTTATCAAGCACATAATGTTTCAAGAATTTACTAATTCAATTATGTTTATTGTATGTGTTTATATTCAGAAGTGTTCCTAGTATTCTGAACCCTTTATGTCTATAAAGGAGAACAACAATATAGAGACATCACTGAATAAAATGCAATCTAGTACAATACCACCACCTTTAACTATGACCTCAGTAATAAACACAAAATAGAATTTATACATTTCGGACAATTTCACCAAAACCTGAAACATCATGAGCTTGATAAACACAGATGGTAAGGCAGGGCTACTTGGCTGCATTCAATTATACATATGTCCCTAACAAAATGCATGGTAAGTAAAGAGCTGCTTGGATAAGTAACTGTAATGTACTAAAGTCAAAATTCTACAATACTTGTTACAGAGAAAAGAATCAGCTACATCAATAAGACATTACCACTGTCCATCACTGCTTTGGACACATGCAGCTAGCTGTCTTCAGGCTACGCTAGCTAGCACACCAGCTTAAGACAAAGACATGACACTGATGTCTTATTTTACTCTCATAAAGAAAGCAATAGTATTCCTTAAATTTGAAGTATGACTTATTTCATGTGGCAACTGAAAGACTCCTATGGACAAATAAAAAATACTTTACTCTTTAACATCTTTTCCCTTCAAAATGGATGTGCAGCATTTGATTTGGAAATGTATTTAGTCCCATACCTACACATATTCTAAAAATCAAAGCCAGTCAACACACTTTTGGTCCCAAGGGCAGTGCAACAGCAGTGGCTCAGTAAGCTATGTGGCTCACAGGAGTCAAGTGAGCTCTGATTTACTCATAAAGCACAGCGACACTAACATGGTGAGCGCAGAAGTGCTGACACTGGAGTTGGAGGTACAGGCAGAAAGAGAATGAGGAAGGATAGAGAAAGAAAGAGGTAGAGACAGAAAGAAGAGAGGGACAAAGTAAGGTAACAGAATAAGGAGAGAAGAGGAACAGAGAGAGATACAGCAGAGTTCAGGAGCTATAGTAGAGTGTGTCAGCCCTATTGTGTTTAGCTAGTTTCACCCTTCAAATAAATCATTCAAGAGAAGGATCAGGGAGAAAGTAAAAGCAAAGCAGAGGAAAGATGCAGTTGGCTAGTGGACGGACTGCACAGCACTGCAGCAAATGGTTTCCTACAGTAATCAGAGATGGAGAGTAGGTGTGTGTGTCTATATGCATGCATGCATTGGGGGTGTCCAGAAAGGAATATAATTAACAGGAAAGAAGAAGAGACATCAGCTGCATCTGTATTTGTAGTAAGAAACCCTGGGGGGTTGCGAAGTGAGCAAACATCCTGGTAGAGCTCTGGATGTATGGAGACATGTAGACGCACACACTCAAATCCCCAATGCATCATCCTGACACACCGGTCCCCAGATCCCATTTCTGTCCATCTGTCAATGTGCATCCACCCTACCATTGTTTTTTTTAACCCAGTTCCACTTGGATGGACAGTTAGAGGACACCAGGAACAAGAGAATCAATGCTACACAGGCCACAATCCAGATTCATGGTCTGTCTTGCAAAGATTTTTCCTAAGCTGCCGGGTTTCTCCACCCATTCAATAACTTCTGCTGCTGTGACAGCACAAAATGTAGAGCAGACCAAGCTCTGTGGACCCATGCTGCCTGAGCCAAATAAAGTCCCGCTAAATTTACAACCCGCTGAGAGACACACAGGGACAAAAGGGTGATGTACCAGAAAATAAATAGTTAGCACAGAAGCTGGACTTGCAGTAGTTTTAAAATGTGACTGCACCTTTTTTGCTGTTTTATTAACAAAAGTGAAGGAAAAGGTGAATTGTGATGTGAGGAAAACGTCAACGCTAAACAGTGTGCAGTTGTGTCTGCATGCTGTATGGCTCTATGTGTGTGTGTGTGTATGTGTGTGTGTGTGTGCATTTGTGTGTTCAGGTGCAAGAACTGGAATGGACAAAAGCACCTCTAAGGCTTCAGTCTGCTGACTTTTTCTCACAGTTCAATACTACATGACTGCACCGCCCCTCTTGTTCTCCTGAACTGGCCCACTTGGATTAAGGTTATTTAAAATGCCTCCATTTAGTTGCAGCTCAGCCTAAAATACACACTTTCCTGTCACTGCTGACAGATTACTGGCACAAGGAAGAATGCTGACATCTTGCCGGGAATTATGGAATTACTGGCAGAGAGAAAATGATGAAAACAGGTGGGACAGCGAGGATCAGGTGACAGAGCCTATGACAGCATTGTTCTACACGCATCCACACACACCGCACACCAAAGGTGAAAGCTCAGCACTTGTGCCGCCGTATTCACTTGTAATATGACAATCACATATTCATTAGTCCAGGTGGTAATATTCCAATCCCAGGAAGTCAAAACAGAAAGAAAAGAAATACATTAAGTAAAAACAAAAACACTCATGCCAAACCATTGCTCCACTTCCCACACTTCACTTCACTGTCTCCTTGGTAACCAGCACAGAGAGTGTGAAGAAGAGTTGTGAAGGGATGTGATTGGATGATTCTACACAGCTCTGGACCACTGGTGTAAATGTTAGGAGTCAGGTTAAAAAAAAGCAAGAGGATGAGGCTCTTTTATAGCCTGTCAGAGCGACTACTGATTACTATGATGTAATGTTTACTGCTCACTTTAGATTTACTTACACATTACACCTCAGCCAGGGAGACCAGGATTTTGTTGATGGCCTTTGCTTTCAGCACTTAACAGATGCTGGTTCAATCTGGATTACACGGTTCTGTGAAAGAGCTTTAAAATGGTGGTTCTGTCCATGACTGATACTGATAAAGATGACAGTGTGGGCATTTCTGAGATCTCATCAGTTAGTTGTTTGGTTCTAAGACTCACTGGATGTTTAGCTGAATGTTTACACACCTGATGTTGCACCTGACCTGACTCATTACATTCACTATGATTTAGATGAGGCCTTTACAGACCAAGTGGACCTGTGAAAATCTGCACATTAAGTTAATCTGTTGTTTAGTTAATTAATTAATCAATTAACTGTTTAGTTACTGAAAGTCAGAAATAGTTAAAAAATACCCATCACAATTCCTCAGAGCCCAATTTGACTTGTTTTGTCCAATCAACACCTCAAAATGCAGAGATAATCAATCTACATCTCATTGATATGAAACAGAGAAAAGCATTATGTTCTCACATTTGAACAGACACAACAAGTTACTAATGTTTTGTATTTTTGCTTCTTAAATGACACAAAGGATTAATAAATTATCAAAACTGTGGAAATAGGTCTCTGTTGATTGACCAATTGATTAACTCTCAGCACTAGTCTTGGGCCAAATTTGAACCAATTTATAAAAGGCCAGGCCACCAAGACGGATATGACTCATTCTATCACAAAGCAACCTCTCAACCAGTTACCCAGTCGCATCCAATTCAACACAACATTTCTATCTCCACACTACAATATACAGTATAATCCATAAAGGCTCTCTTCAGTTACAGTAACATGAAACATGTACACAGAGAGGAAAGACTGGGCCAGTGTAGGACTGTGCTCAGAATGAGACAAATAGCAGCGCATTCTTCATATCATGCACATGTGCTAAGAATAGAGCCGCCATATAAGGAGCTGTCAGAGTCAGTTGGCATAATCTTGGGAGATGCCATACTGTTACTGCACATGGGATTGATGCCTCACTTCCTGTCAGTGGTCATGTGACTGTGAGGGTTTACCCCAGGCTTCACGGTAGTGGAACGGAATAGAATGGAAATAAACACGCAGGCACTGAACCTCTGGAACAACTCATGACCAGCATGACAAGGCAGCCATGTGATCCTCATGCCATTTCCACAGCAAGGTGGTGATAGAGAGTGATAGGCCATAGAGTCAGCATGCATGTTCTCACTGCTCTGAAGGCGTGACATGATAAGGTCACTAGGGTTGCTGTTCCACTGGTGTCTGCAAGCAAACATACAGTTAATGATAAAGCCAACATGTATTCTCTCTCCATGATGTAAACATGCTTCCTCGCAGTTACTACTGGGAACCGCCATCTCCATCTAAGCCCCTTTTTTCTTTTTGAGAAACTCCAGCTCAAGAAGAAATACTATGTGCAAATCTTTGGCAGTCCATCTAAATGGAGCTTGACTTTCTCTATCAGTCCAAATCCTAAAGACAGAAGGGTAGAAACTAATGGAGCACATGAATCAAGTCTGAACAAGCATTAGTGTCCTGCAGTATCCAGTTTCAGAGAGACAGATGTCTGAGATGAGCCTGGGGTGTTTCTTTTCAGCCACAATCACTCACACTTGTGCCTCTAAATATAAACTGGCACTGTGGCACCAGATCTGGACAACTCGCTGCCTAGAGTTGGCACATTAGCTTCGGATGGAAAATGATATCCTGCGTGCTTTTATGCAGTGAGTGCATGTGTGGGAGTAGAGTGTCTAAAAAGTGGAGCTTTTTCCTGGAGATGTCAAC